ATGATGACCTCACAATAAGCTTTACTGATGTAAATCAAGTTATTTAAAAAGCATTCTCTGCCTTTGCTTCCTCTTAACAAAAACCACCACACTTACACAACCACGTTAACTACATTAATGAGGGCCAGAGCAAAATCCATATAAGTACAAGAGTTACCAGTTTTTGAGACAGGAGTAATGAGAGAAGCCATTCCTGGTTAGGAGTCAAGTCAAAACCAAAAGACATTTTTATCTGTATTATAGGTAGATCACTGGGTAGAAGTCAATTCAAGCTGAGAGCCCTGGTGCTTTTCCAGGGTCACATTTATCACACAAATTTTCAAATATGATAATTTTTGAAATCAGGGTATTTAAACACTAAACATTGTAAATACCACCTGGATTAAACAAATATTCTAGAACAGATGCTCTGAGAGAGACTTTAATTCTTAGACCAGCAAGGGAAGGTTGAGTCAAATCTCCCTTGTTCATAATTCTTGGTCCGAGTCCTATTTAAACCACAAGTACTGGCTCTGACATAAATCCTGATCAAAAAGTTGCCTGGTACTGGCTGTCACACTTTTGGGATTCAGGATATACCTGCACAGATTTAGTCCAGGGTAACTATTGCATCTTAGAGACCTCTAAAGGTAACTTAAATTCTTTTGACTTCAATAAAATCTATGCAAGAAAAACAACTGTAAATAAATTCTATCTGACAGACCACCAAAATCTGAACCCAGAAATTTGCACTACACCAGTTCCCATAAGTGCCTGACTGTTCTGCATTTTTAAAAAGTATTCCTTTTTATATGCATTTATAATCTGTTCCTCTCACTATCCTTCCCCTCTACCAAAGGAGAAGTAAAAACAAACCTGAAAACAAAACATTCATCATAAATATGCATAATCCAGTCAAACAAATTCCCACATTGGTCATGCCCAGAGTTCTGTCTCTGTCTGCATTTTAAGTTCATCACCTATCAGGAAGTAAGTGTGTATTTCATCTTCCGTTTTCTGTACTTGGTATTTATTACTGCATTTATCAGAACCTAGCGTCTTTCAAACTTCTTTTTTTCTTCAACACTATTGTCTATATTATAAACTTTTCTCCTAGTTCTGTTCACTTCACTCTAAGTTCATGAAGGTCTTTCCTCTGAAATTGTCCATTTTATCATTTCTTGTGCCACAATAATGAAGATATCCCCTTAGTTTCCAATTTGGGGCTACTATGAAAAAGCTATCATAAATATTTTTGTACACATAAACCCTTTTCCTCTTCAATATTTTTCCATCTCCTGCCATGCAGAGGAAAAGGAAAGGCAGCACAGATCTGGTACGACCTCCATCCGCACCACAAAACTATGATTTCCTCACGTTCCTGCCTGCCTAATCTCCAGTTTGATCTCTGGTGCTAATAGAAATGTTTCCTATCCCCTGAAAAAAGAGGGAGAGGAAAGTAGATTGGGAACAAGACTTTCATCTCCTGCTACACAGATGCCATTTACCGCTGCTCCTTCTCCAGCCCAATCTCTAGCCTTTTCTAGGACAAGAGGCACCTTCCACTTGATGAATAACATAAAACTGGTCACATCCCTACACATCCTAGTGATTCTAAACCCCTGTAAGCCATCATCAAAACCCCATGCCCCATCCCCCACCACCTGATTTTTTTATTCCCATGTCTCTCAACCCTCCCACCCCAGAATCAACCAAAAGCTACCTGCCCCTTTCACTCTGCCTCTGCCTTCTGGAACACCTGTTCCATAGGCAACAAACTTTCCTTCATCTAAAATCTTTCACTCTCCCTATATTTCTATTTTCTGGCAATCACTGAGACCTAGCTCCCCCTGATGACACAGCCACTCTTGTCACCCTTTCTAGTGCTGGTTTCACTTTCACTCAATTTCCTCATCTCATTGTTTAAGACTGAAGAGTTGAAATACTCCTTCCTCCCTATTGCTATTTCTAGGTTCTCCTTCTGCTTCCATTACTCAGTAACCTCTCCTCCTTTGAAATCCTTACAATTTACATCTTTCACCCAATTAAAATCTTGAGAGCTATTGTGTACAGACTTCTCAGATGCTTCCTTTCTTTCCTCAATGATTTCAGTACCAGGCTCACAATCTTTCTCTCCTCTCCAACTCCTGCTCTCAACTAGGGGACTTCAATGTACATATTGACACTACTTAAAAGACCCTAATCATTTGGTTCCTCAATCTACTCACTTCTCATGACCCCACTTCAACTACACACAAAATCCTTCATAACCTAACCCCTCACTTCTACCTTTCCAGTCTTCTTATACTTTATATACACACCCCTCCTCCCACCCTCCAATTTGCTGTAGACAGCAAAGCTATGATTTTTTCCAGTAGCAGTGTATGATTGTGAGAGTTGGAGTACATGGAAAGCTGAGCACCACAGAATCAACACTTTCGAATTGTGGTGCTGGAGAAGACTTTTGAGAGTCCTTTAAATAGCATGGAGACCAAATCAGTCAATACTTAAAGAAATTAATTCAGACTATTCACTGGAGGGTCAAATGTTGAAGCTGAAACTTAAATACTTTGGCCATATAATGAGAAGATGGGACTCACTGGAAAAAACCCTGATGTTGGGAAAAATGGAAGACAAAAGGAAAAGGGGATGGCAGAGGACGAGATAGATAGTGTCATGGAAGCAATGAACATGAAATTGGACATACTTCAAGAGATAGTGGAGGACAGAAGCACCTGGCATGCTATGGTCCATGGGGTCACAAAGAGTTGGACATGACTGAACAACTAAACAATTCCATATACTCTTCGAGCCAGTGATGCTGGCCTTCTTGCTATTCCATGAACAAGATACATCATCTCTGACGGTCCCCCATGCCTAGAATGCTCTTTCCCCTCATTTCTGCCTCCTAGAGCTTCCTTCAAGTCCCATCTCAAATCCCACCTTCTACAGGAAGCCTTCCCTAAGCCCTCTTAATTCTGGTACCTTTTCTCCATTAATGAGTTTCTATTTATCCTGTATATAGCTTATTTGTACATATTTGTTTGCTTGTTGTCTTCCCCATCAAATTGTGAGCTTATTGAGGACAGAGAATGTATTTTGTCTTTCTTTGTATCCTCAGCACTTACCACAGTGCCTGGCACAAAGAAAGTGCTTAATAAATGCTTATTGACTAATTGATCTGGGGTACTGATATAGCTGGGTCAAAGGGTATGCATATAATTCCATAATGGCTGCTCCAATTCACAGCTTTACTAACGGTGCACTAGCGTGCCTATTTTCCTATAGCCCTTCCAACATTTGTCATTTTCCTTCTGTCATTTTTACAAGCTTAATTAATGTGAGGTTAAACCTCAAAGTTACTTTAATTTGCACTTCCCTAATTACTGGTGATGGAGTATTTTTATATGGTTGTTAATAGCTTGGATTTCTTTCTTTCAAAACTACCATTTTATATCCTTTGACCATTTAGCTACTGGGAAATGGCTCTTAGTTTTATAGATTTGTATGAGTTCCTTATATGTCTTGGATATAAGACCTTTATTAGAGAAATTTGTTGCAAAGATTTTTTTCCCTCTCAATTACCAATTTCCCTTTTAATTTTAACTACATTAGATTTGTTTGTGTAAAACTTTTCTCTATTTTATTGATGTAAGCATTTAGAGAGATAAATTTTTCTCTATTACTACTTTTTGCTGTATTCTGTAAGTTTTGATATGTTGTCTTATTGTTGTCATTCTTTTTAATGAAATTATTGATTGTTTTTATGATTTGTTCTTTAACCCACTCAATTCTTTAATATTAGGTTGTTTAGCCTCCAATTAATTTTTATTTTATGTTTCCATGGTTCCTTATTAAATATAATTTTATTTCATTGTGATCTGAAAAGGATGCGTTTAATATTTTTTAACTGTGAAATTTTTATGGTCAATCTTTGTAAAACTACCACATACCACTGAGAAAAAGGTGTATTTCTTTCTATTCCCATTCAATTCTCTCCAGATATCTATCATATCTAGCTTATCTAAAATTCTGTTCACTTTCTTGACTTCTTTCTTATTTTTAGTTAGATTTATCTAGTTCTGAGAAGGGAAAATTAAAGTCTCCCATTATTATAATATTACTGTCTTTTCCATCTGTAATTCATTTAGCTTTTCTTTTAAAAATGTAGATGCTAGCACTGGCCCTGGAGTCAGGAGGACCTGAGTTCAAATCTGGCCTCAGACACGTAACACTTACTAACTGTGTGACTCTGGGCAAGTCACTTAACCCTAATTGCCTTGCCAAAAGTAAATAAATAAATAAAAATAAAAATGTAGATGCTATAATATTTGGTACACGTGGGTTTAGTATTGATATTGCTTCGCTGTCTATGGTACCTTTTATCACAATGTAGTTTCCCTGTTTGTCTCTTTTAATTAAATCTATTTTAGCTTTAATTTTGTCTGAAATAATGACTGCTAGCCCTGCCTTTTTTACATTAACTGACACATAATAAATTCTGCTCCAGCCCTTTATTTTACCTGTGTGTATCCCTCTTTTTAAATACGTTTCTTATGAACAACATATTGTTAGAATCTGATTTTTAATCCATTTTACTATCTATTTCCATTTTTTTGTTTGTTTCTTTTTTGAGGCAATTGGGGTTAAGTGACTGGCCCAGGGTCACACAGCTAGTAAGTGTCTAAGACCATATTTGAACTCAGGCCCTCCTGACTCCAGGACCAGTGCTCTATGCGGCACACTATCTAGCTGCCCGTTTCTATTTCCATTTTATGAGTGAATTCATCCCATTCACATTCCAAGTTATAATTTGTATTTGTGTATTTCCTTCCTTCTCCTTTTCTTCTTCCTCCTCCTCCTTCTTCTCTTCTTCTTCACCATCACCACCATCATCTTCCTCCTCCTCCTCCTCCTGCTCTTGTTCCTATTGCTGCTGCTTCTCCCTCCTGTTTCCTTGGAGTGGACCATCCTGGTGATGGTCCTTTTGTGACCTGAGGAGACCCCCCCCCGGACTCTCCATGACCAACGAAAAGCCAAAGGAAGGAGTCAAGACCGAAAACAATGACCACATTAATTTGAAGGTGGCAGGGCAAGATAGCTTGGTGGTGCAATTTAAGATTAAGAGGCACACACCACTTAGTAAACTAATGAAAGCCTGCTGTGAACAACAGAATTTGTCAATGAGGCAGATCAGATTCCTATTTGATGGGCAACCAACCAATGAAACAGACACACCTGCACAGTTGGAAATGGAGGATGAAGTTACAATTGATGTATTCCAACAGCAGACAGGAGATACATACTAAAAAGAGAACTGCAACTCTACTCCTGAACTGTGCGCCCAAGGAAAACAATACATTCACAATTAGAAAACCAAGATTTGGTTCATCCACATCCTCACTACTGCAGTATAGTTTTCTCTCTTCTATGATTCCCTTCCCCCATTCCTTTATTGAACATAAAGTAACTGGTGTATGTTCACAGTCATAATGCATATTTTTTAAAACTAAATGGCCTATGTTATGTTTTGATCAACATCAGATGGAGATGGGGAGGGGAAAAAACAAACTGGTTCTGTGAAAATATCCCTTTTCTGCATTAGTGGCATGCTCATTCAACTTTTACCTTTATTTACAGTAAGTTATTTTGCTTTCTCTGTTTAACAACAACAACCAAAAAAAACCCCACAAAAAATCCTTGCATACCTTGTTTGATTAGATAATTTCAATGTTTTTCTTTTATCATTGTAAAACCAAGGACTATTTTATAACTTTTTTGTACGTAGCTATTACATGTAGGGCAATCTCTGTCTCTCAGTAGGGATAAATTACTGTAAAAAGAATTGATCCTAGATAGTTTTCCCTTCAAGTCAAACATCTTGTTGTTTAATAAACTTCTTGTCTGAAATAAAATAAAATAAAATTTTGTATAATCAAAATTATCCATTTTATGTTTTGTAATCTCCTCTATTGCTTTAGTAATAAACTCCTCTCCTATTCACAGATATGAAAGATTATTTCTTTCTTGCTCCTCTATAATGTGATCTTTTGTATCTAGATCATACATCCATTTAGAGCTTATTTTATTCTACAGTATGAGGTTTCAGTATAAATCCAATTTCTTTCAGATTTCGATCCAGTTCTCCCAACAGTATTTGTCAAATAGCAAGTTCTTTACCTGGTAACTGGGCTCTTTGAGTTTATCATGTACTTTGCTACTATGTTTGCTTCTGCGTATTGTATACCCAATGAGTTTCACTGAGGTTTCTCATTTTTTTAATCCAATACTGAATGATTTTAATGATTATTGTTTTGTAGTACAGTTTGAGATCTAATACTGGTAGATACTCTTACTGCCCATTTTTTAAACTATTGTTCTAAATATTTTTCAGGGAGCTGTACAAGATTCATTAATATATAAATACATGATAATCTTGGACTCAAAAGTATACAGGAGTGAAGGAAACAAGCATTTGTTTAATGTTTACTATGTGCCAAGAATTGTGCTAAGCACTTTACAAATGTCTCATTTGATCCTTATAACAATCCGGGGAGATAGGGGCTGGTGTTATTAGTCACATTTTACAATTGAGGAAATTGAGGCAGACAGGTTAAATGACTTGCGCTGGTGTCAGAGCTTGGACTTGAATTCGGATCTTCCTGACTCCAGGCCCAGAACTCTATTTTTTGTACCACCTAGCTATTTTTAGGCAGGATTATGTTTTATGTTTTTGTTTGTTTGTTTTAGGCAATTGGGGTTACACAGCTAGTAAGTGTCCAGTATTTTGGTCTGAGGCCACATTTGAACTCAGGTACCCCTGACTCCAGGATCAGCGCTCTATCCACTGCACCACCTAGCTGCCCTTAGGCAGGATTCTGAAGGAAGCTGTTCATTTACATGTGGTGCCTCGAACTTAATATTATATTTTTGTAAAATGAGAAAGCTTAAAGATTTTACCCGAATGCTTATTAAAAAGCATCAAGTTGACCTTAAAAAAAGAAAATGAACAAGCCATAAGTGAGTTCTCTAAGAAAAAAATCCCTAGAGGGCAGCTAGGTGGCACAGTAGATAGAGTGCCGGCCCTGGAATCAGGAGGACCTGAGTTCAAATCTGGCCTCAGACACATAACTGTGTGATCCTGGGCAAGTCACTTAACCCCAATTGCCTCACCAAAAAAAAAAAAAGAAAAAGAAAAAATCCCTAGGACCAGATGGACTTGCAAATGAATTCTACCAAACATTTAAAGAATGATTAATTCTACTACTACATAAACTGTTTGAAAAAATAGGTAAAGAAGGAGTTCCTCCTATAACACAAATATGGCTTTGATACCTAAACCAGGGAGAGGAAAAACAGAGAAAGAATACTATAGACCAATTTCTCTAATGAATATTGATGCAAAAATTTTAAATAAAATATTAGCAAGGAGATTACAGCGACATATAACAACGATCATACCCTATGATGAGGTAGAAAATACCAAGAATGCATGGTTGGTTCAAAATCAGGAAAACTATCAGTATAATTGACCATATTAATAACAAAAACCACAAAAATCATATCGTTATCTCAATAGCTAAAAAGAAAAAGCTTTTGACAAAATACCACACCCATTCCTATTAAAAAACATTAGAAAACATAGGAATAAATGCAAAACATATTTATATATTAGCCATGTTGTTAAAAAAAAAAGGAAGCAAAATAAAATTTTTAAAATATGCTGTGATCTGCACTCAGTCCTCTTTCTGGAAATGGATAGCATTTTTCAGCATGAATCCTTTCAATTATGTTGCATCATTGTCTTGATCAGAGTAGCTAAGTCTTTCACAGTTGGTCATCGTTACAATATTGCTGTGTACAATAGTCTTCTGGTTCTGCTCACTTCACTTTATATCAATTCATATAAGTCTTCCCAGGTTTTTCTGAAACTATCTCCATTAATCATTTCTTACAGCACAATAGTACTCCATCACAATCATATACCACAGCTTGTTCAGTCATCCCCCAGTTGACAAGCATCCCCTCAATTTCCGACTCTTATTATGTATTTTTACCTAATTTGAATTTTAAAAGTCACTGAATTCTAACTCAACAATGATTTTTAGTCCAAATATTTTCCTTTTCATCCTGAGACCAGGCTGAGGAAGGCCTAGAAGCCATGACACGAGGATTGCTTGAAGGAACAGGAAATATTTAGCCTGGAGAAGACATGTAAGTGGGGGTCAGGGTGTGGGAAGAGAGATGTCTTCATTTATTTAAATGAACTCTTAAAATGAAGTTTATTTTTAAGTTTTCATTTACTTAAAAGATTGTTATGAGAAAGAAGGATTAGACTTTTCTACTTGGCTTCAGAGGGTACAATTAATATCTAGACTTTATAAGGATCAAGGGTTATATTTAATCCAAATAAGTGTTTGAGAGTTTCCCAAGATTGGGATTATATAGTAGGCTTTAATGATACACAGATCGAATCCACACAAGGGTTTGGTCCACTTTGCCTCATTTCTTTAGGTAGAAATGTATACAATAGTAAATCCATCTATGAGGCAAGTCACAATCAGAAGTGTTCTGTAGTCAGTTTGAGAAAGTTGGTTGTTAAACATTTACCAGCACTCCCCTGTTTAAAATAGTGAAATAAATCACTAGCCCTGGAAAAGACTGTAGGATTAAGAGCTAGAAGGCATCTTAAGAAATCATCTAGGGGCAGCTAGGTAGCATAATGGAGAGAGTAACGACCTTGGAATCAGGGTCTTGAGTTCAAATCCATCCTCAGACACATACTACTTAATAGCTGTGTGACTCTGGGCAAGTCACTTAACCCCAATTGCCTCCCCCCCCCCCAAATCATCCAGGCCAACTTATTCGTTTTACAGATGAGGAAATTAAGACCCAGAGAGGTTCAATGACTTTTCCAGGTCACAAGTAAGCAAGGAGGTAAGAACCAGGATTTGTATCTAGGTCACAGGATTATTGAATAAAACATTTAAAGCTGCAAAAGTTTTCAATTATCCAGTTCAACTGATTTATTTTACAGTTTAAGAAACAGGCTCAGATATGTTAAGAGTCTTGCCAAAGGTTACATAAGTAGCAGGTACTAGAGTAAGGATGTAGACCTGTGTTTTCCAAATCACTTCTCTCTCAACCCAGTGTTCCTTATAAACCTCTAAATCTTCCTTTTGCTTTTTATTTTAATTTTCTTTTTCTTTTTTTCTACATAGGACAAACATTTTAAAAACCTGGGAGGGGATATGTGCTACTTTCAAGGAACAGAGTTAAGACACAGAAAAATACCTATTGTCCTTTCCTGCAGAACTTAGTACCAATAGCAGAGGGGCAGCTAGGTGGCACAGTGGATAGAGTGCAGGGCCTGGAGTCAAGAAGATTCATCTTCCTGAGTTCAAATCTACAAGATGAACTGGAGAAGGAAATGGCAAACCTCTCCAGTATCTCTGCCAAGAAAACCCCAAATGGGGTCATGAAGGTCAGCCGTGACGGAACAATAACCACAACGGGAGAAGTAGGTTGTACTCTTGATTCTGCTAATATTTCTGTACAATGCCCCAGACACCTCTTAACCTTGGAAACTCACTATGGTCCTAGACTTCACACACTGAAAATACCCTCTGCCCCTGATTAGTGTATTCCTCCCAAAACCTCCATTTCACAGAAGGAGGCCAACCGTGTCATCATTCCTCTCCAAACTGCACTCCTGACTCTCCTGGTCTTTTCTCCATAATGCTCCTGCACCAGGTACCTTCAATCTTCCTTCTTTTATGTCTTGTCTTCCTCCATTAGAATGTAAGCTCCTTGGGGACAGAAACTGTCTTTCTACTGGTATTTACATTCTTAGTGCTTATCAAAGTGCCTGACATATAGTAAAGCATTAAAAAACTCTTGCTGACTTGACTTGAGAGCTGGAGGTCATGTCTCAAACGAGATTAATGTACATAAAACACTTTGCCAGCCTCATACAGTGGTAGTTATTTCTATTCTGTAGACAGTCTCTTGTGGCAAATTTATTTTGTGGGACCCATCAGAGCTAACAGGTGTTTTCTGTGTACTTTTAATCCTATAGTTTACGAAAAGGCCTTTGACTCTCAGTTACAATATCCATAATATGAATATATTGTTACTAAGCATTAACAAATAACACTTTTCAAGAGTCTTACATTTTTTATTATGTAGGTGGCACTAATGGGGATGAAGGAGTAGGGACATAGTTTTCCACTTATAACTTTCTCCATAGACAGTTTTCCAAATCTTCACAGAAATTTTAAGGTTGACATCAATAAGTTGCTGGATTGTT